GGATTTCCTGAATGACTGGGTTGAACAAAGTCCCCTAAAGACCTCTGTTGGACGGTAACATGGACAAGAAATATACCTTTATTTGGGCTTTGTCTGTTGCAGCACTTCTTCATTACCTACCATAACTGTTATTGTTGTTGTTATTAAGTGCTGTTGAGTTGATTCTGACCCATAGTGGCCCTGTATAGGGATTCCAAGGAGCAGCTGGTGAGCTTGAACCACTGACCTACCATGACTAATCTCCCTCCAAATGGTGAGGGATACTAAATTATAAAGCATAAGAAGCAAGACAGAGGGATCAGTCAAGATCATATTGTGATGTAACTATTGCAGTAACCTTGGAGTTAAGGTGGAGAGGGAGGACATAAGAGAAGCCGAGGAGAAGTTTATCATTGATTGAATGAGGGGAGTAATCGTTCAAGAGTAAAGGTGTCACTTTGAGGACTAAGGTGTGCCTGACCCAAGCCATGGTATTTTCAAACTTCAGTTTGTATCTGAAAGCTGGACAACAAATACGGCAGACTGGAGAAGAAGTGATGTATTTGAATTATGGTATTGGTGAAGAGTGCTGAATAGACCATGGACTGCCAGAGAAGAAACAAATTTGCTTGAAAGAGGTACAGCCAGAATGCTCTTTAGAAGCAAGGATCTGAGACTTCTTTTTTACTTTGGGCATGTTATTTGGAAGGACCATTTCCTGGAGAAAGACATCATGTTTGGTAAAATGGAAGGTCAGAGAACAAGATAAGATGGGTTGAAACAGTGGCTGCAACAATGACCTCAAGTACAATAAAGATGTCAAGGATGGTGAAGACCAGGCAGTGTTTCATCCTGTCGCACATAGTGTTGCTTCAAGTCAGAAAAGCTTGATGGCACCCAACAACAACAACATCATGGGCTATTGGTTCAAGTTCAGTTCAATATGGACCACCCACTATGTGCCAGTCCACATGCTGGTGTCTCTTCTTCCAAGGAACCACAAACTGGTTTAGGAGGCTAATGCTTAGGCAGGTAAGTCAGTGTGGCCTGTAACAGCAGTGATAAAGACTGTCCTCGGTACCATCGGAGCTCAACAAAAACAAGCCTGATCTGCAATGAAGGAGAGTGATGGATCTGGGAGTCTCTTTAGAGGAGACAATACTTGAGTGGAGTCTTCACACCTGAGTAGGGAGGTGGGAAAGGAGCCCTGAGAGTGTAGTAGATTATGAGTTGGTCTAATAATTGCTAGTCCAGCAGTTCGAATCTACCATCTGCTCCTTTGGAGAAGATGAACTTTTCTGTTTCCATAAAGGCTTACAGCCTCAGAAACCCTATACAGGGTCAACATGAGTTAAAGTCAACTTGATGGCACATAACCACCACCACTACCAGGGAGGTGGCAATATAACTGGGAAGGGGGCAGAGTTTGAATAGAATATAACTGAATATGAATAGAGAAACAGGAGGGGAGAAGATGGTAAGAATATTCAAGACTGAGGCCACCTCATGACGTTGACTCTGAGGTCAATAAGAACTTCACTATTGCTGAAGGGTAAAACATCAGGGAATTAGCAGCACAAGATGAGACATGAACTAGTGCAGGTCAGACTACGGAGGGCACTGTTTGCCATATTTAATTTGGTACTATAGATGTTGGCGTACTGGTGTAGCGTAGGATAAGCACTCAACTTTGAGGTTGGTTTGAACCATAAGGTCAGTGGTTCAAACTCACCAGCTGCTCCTCGGAAACCCTACACAGGGTTGCTATGAGTTGGAATAGACGCAATGGACTTAACAACAATAGATAGATGTTGGAGGATGGATTGAGGGGGACTGGAGCAATGGTGGCAAGAACAGTCGGAAATTGTAGCAATAACTGATGTTGGAAATGAGAATAGATGAAGTCCTGGATCTAAACAGTATGATAATGAGGGCAACAATGACTTGAGAAATTTTAGGAAGTGAAATGAAACTAATTTAGTGGTGTGTGGGTGTTACGAGTGAAGAAGAGATAAAGGAAGAACCAGATTACCTGACGGATACCGTGCCAAGTGTATGATAGTGCTAACTGAAGAAAATGAAAATCGGAAACAAAAAGTGAACCATATTAGGAGAGGAAGGGGCATAGAAAGCAAATGCCTCTTATCCATTGCTCCACCCACACCAAAATAAATTTCCAGAAAAACAATCTAGTGGGAAATGATGATCTGTAAGTAGGGATATCCATTCCTTTCTCTTGCCCCACATGCCAACACCAACACATTTTTATTTTCACCACCACTATGTTAGGAAAATAAGAGCAAAGATGTCAGCTTGAGGACTAAGGTGCGCCTGACCCAAGCCATGGTATTTTCAATAACCTCATATGGATGAGAAAGCTGGACAGTGAATAAGGAAGATCGTAGAAGAATTGATACCTTTGAATTGTGATGTTGGAGGAGAATACTAAAAGTGCCATGGTCTGCCAAAAGAACCAATAAATCTGTTTTGGAAGAAGTGCAGCCAGAGTGCTCCTTGGAGGCCAAGATGGCCAAACTTCATCTCTCATACTTTGGACATATTGTCAGGAGGGACCAGTCGCTGGAGAAGGATATCATGTTTGGTAAGGTGGAGGGTCGGAGAAAAAGAGGAAAACCCCCAATGAGATGGATCGGCCAGGTGGCATCATTGATGGACTCAAATGTGGCAGCGGTAGTGAGGTTGGCCCAGGATTGGACATCGTTTCGTTCTGCTGTGCATGGGGTCACTATGAGTCGGTTCTGACTCGATGGCCCCTGACAACAACAACAACAACGTTAGGAAAAAGGTAGCCTTGGTGGTTCAGTGGTTGAGCACTTATCTGTTAACCAACAGGTCATGGTTGAAAACTACCAGCTGCTCTGCAGGAGAAAGATGTGGCAATCTGCTTCTCAGGGATAGTTTATCTGATAAGCAAGGTAAATGTGGCTTTACTTGTGCTGACTTCCTAATCTGTACTGAACAATTTCACATCTGTGGTAATACAGTGGGTGAAATTGTTCACTACAGACAAGTAAGCAAAAGTAAGTTTATGCTGACTTTGATTACTGGGTAATTTACTCTGTTGCTTCCATAAAGAGTTACAGCCTTGGAAACCCTGTTGGGAAAGTGTATTACTCTGTCCTTTGGTATTGCTAGGATTTGGAATTTACTTGATGGCCAAAAAACTTTTTTTTTGTTGTTTTTATGCAGGCAAAACAGGAAATAAGCAGCAGATTTTTAATGAGAGGTTTTAAAACACAAAGTCTGTGAGAAACTGTCAGACTGCAGATGGTTTTCCTGTATGAAAATGGTGACAGGATTTGGCCATGAGAATCTTGATATAGGAGTACCAAACAGCCTTGAAAAGAGGGGGGTTGGGGAAGTCCGCCCTGAATTTGGAATTGGGAAAGACACCCAGAAATGACATGGGCCTCTGGATGGGGCTGAAGCAAGCAGTCAAGAAGATGAAGCTTCAAGGAACCCATGAGTCCAGCCTGTGGATTTTCAGAGACCTCCAGAAAGAGGGCAAGGCAAACAGCAATCTGGGCCATGGGGAGAACAAGGGTTATAACCTGAAACTTGAAACTAGTCTGGAATTGAATATGATTCAGTTTTTATTTTACTTGAACTGAACTGTTCTCAGACTTCAAGTGTACTCTTCCCCAACAGTTTCTTTCTCTGTCTGAGGCTGCATTGGGTCAGATGCTAGGGAACAGGAATAGGGTGGCCCTAAGGGTAAAGACATATTCGTTGATCTCTGGGTGGCATTTGCCTTCAAAGGAACCCTGAGTTGAGATCAGAGGCCAAGACAAAACCCCAAACCAGTTGCCCTGGACTCGACAGACTCAAGCCAACCACATGTCTGTCGGAGCAGAACCGTGCTCGGTGGGTGATGTTTTAGAAGAAAATCACTATGTCTTTCTTCCAAGGTACCTCTAGGTAGATTTGAGTTGTCAGTCTCCTAGACGGAAAACAATGGTACCTCTCAGTCCCCCTTCTCCTTCTTCATGTCAAACTTTGGGTAATATTTCTGTCAGGGTCTTTTCTTTTCCCTGTAAGATCTTTCATAGAGACATGTGGTTTTCCAGGGCCCTTATTTTATTTGCTTATACCATTATCGATTGCTTGTCTCTACAGTACTGACTAATAGCTCTAGAGTCACAGCCCTCTGGTGTCCTGAAGGCACCTAAAATTTAGAACTTGTACCTGATGGGTCAAGAGCATTCCTCAAAGCCATGCTTTGTTTGACTCTATAGGCTAATTTGCATACTCTTCCAGTCAGGGAGGAATTGAGTTCCCTGAAGTACTCTTAATGAGAAAAGAAACAAGGAAACATATTTTCTCCCCAAACTTTATTTTTACAACATATTTTTGTTACAAGCATTGGACAGAACAGAGTTAGACTTGCTGACTCTCCTGTGAGAGCTTAACAACTTAAATAATTAACTTAATAAATATGAAATCAGATTTGGTTTTTCTCCCTTTCCAGCCATGTCATGAACTCTTAAGTAACAGAGGAGAAAATCCTGTATCTATAAATTAGAAGAACTCAGAATTTCCAAATACTGTTTAATCCATTTAGATTTTCCTAAGGCAGAACAGATTTCACTTGTCTCTAAAGACTTAAGACACATAAATAGATCTATAAATAGCTCATATAAATATAGGTTTCTCCTTTTAAATAATAAAATTAGAAAGTCTAGGATCTTGTCTCTAAAAACAAAACAAGGTGGAATCGTCTGCCCCAAAGATATCTGAAGACATATTAAATACATAAATAACTTAAAGCAAGAAAAGCAAATAAGAAGCAAAATTCAGTCTAAGCCTTGGACAGAGAGAGGGAGAAAATTCAGACCCTGCTTCTGAACCAAAGTGTTAGCTGGATGAGTTCTCTTAAGTATCTTTGATGAGTTTGGTTAGAAATGGAGCTGGGACTTTGAAGGATGAAGGTTCCTGAGGGTCTGGGTCTACTTCCCAAAATGCCTATCTGCTTGGGGAGCCTAAGATCTGGCCTGGTGCTCTCAGCTCTTGTGTATTATGATGGGCTTAACACAGGTGCAGCCCACGGTAACCTGCATCTTCTCCATCCGGAAGGAGTGGGGACAGCGTCCACTTTCCCTTCTCAGGACCCAGATCTCTTGCTGGATGCCGACGGAGTTCATGTGGTAGTTCATCTTCCCTTCAGCATCGACACAGTGCAAGTGGAGGCACTTGGCCTCCCAAATCACAGAGGGGTATCTCTCAGGGTCCTCATTGCGGCTGTGAGGGAGACAGAATCAGAAAGAGAATGAGTTCCTGGGAAAGCAGGAAGGTAATCAAGCAGGAGTGAAAGAAAGGAGGCAAGTGTTCACAGGGTAATTCTAGGTATTACATATTCTCTAAGTGCTGGTACTAGGAAGAAGACTGGTGAAAAGTTGGATCTTTAAGCACATCAGGTGTTATTGACAAGAAGAACAAAATTCAGTGTTCCCCAGTTTCTCTGAGGAATGAACACAGTACAATAGGCTAAGACTACAGAAAAGATTTAAGTTTGACATAAAAGATAACTTATTTAGGGTACAGTTGATAGATGAAAAAAGACCAAGACTAGAATTGATTTGGAATTGATGTGACTTGATGCTGCCTGCCTTGGAAGAAGGGAATGCATCGTTATTTTATCTAAAGGTACAGTCGTAGGATGGAGCCAGGAGCTGATGTGAGCACTGGAAACAAAATGTAAGCCTTTTCTTTTTCTCCTCCAGCTGAGTGAAAGATTTGTTTCACCTTTTGGAATGATTTATTTGAACTCTTCTTAGTAATAAGACAGGGAGACAAAGTGCTATAGTCAGATGAATCTGTAGCTCCACATAACTCAGGCTAATCTGCACAAAGTCAAATGTTGAAAATATATTTTGAGTTTCATCTTTGTTGTTAAGTGTCAACTCATATCGACCCCGTATAGGATTTCTAAGGAGTGGCTGGTGGGTTTGCCCTGCCAGCCTTGTGGTTAGCAATCTAGTGCTTACCCTATAGTGCCACACCAGGACTCCACTTCATCTTTAATGGGGACTAAATTCTAGGTGTAGCAAGACTACAACAAATATGGGTGTACCGGGAATGTAGAGTAAGATCTAACTCAAAAAGGGCTGACAATTCCCAACTTTATACTTCCTCCACTGAACGTGGGGTGGCAGGGAGTATAAAACCATCAGTTAATCCTTAGTTATTTTTAGCAAGCATTCTTAATGGTAAAGACTCTTCAAGCATTAATCCTTTGTGCTAAACATCTATTTTTTTCCAAATAGATGATAGATTTGAATGATTAATTTGAGTGAATTAAATCATTCTCAAAGTGATATAGCTGAAGTCTCTGATGTGTAAGGGTGCTGAAGAATACAGAGATACATACTGGAGACTCCAAGGTGAGGTGGATCGGTTGTAGTAATCTGAGACCCTTCTGAAGCTTGTGTTCCGGTTAATCATGATATGGTTGAGTCTCACAGTCTGCGGGAAATTTTTGTCCCCAACATTTGGACATCCTGGATTTTGTGGGACTATTGTTCTTGCCATCATCACAGCCACCAGACTCATTAGCAGAAACTGGATGGGAAGAATGAGAGAGGTGGAAGGTAGGATTAGAATGTGGTTTTTGTTCGTAAATTAGTTGTGATGATGATTGTATTGTTAATCATAAAGAGCGTACCATGTTCCAGTATAATCTATACTAATTTTTCAGATCTGTTAAAGAAATAACCAGTTATATGGCCCAAATGTTATAAGATTATGGAATTTTTCACTTAGAAAAGACACATTATGCATTCAAAACCAAACTGTAGTTTGGTTGATTTGATTCTGACTCATAGAGACCCTGTAGGTCCAAATAGAACTGCCCCATAAAGTTTCTAAGGCTGCAAATCTATATGGAAGCAGACTGCCACATTTTTCTAAAGGGGAGTGACTGATGGTTTTGAACTACCAACTTTCAGTTAACAATTCAGTGCTCAGTCACTGTGCCACCAGGTCTCCTTATATTATGCTTAGGCTGACAGTCATTTTAATAAACCTGGAAAATACTTCCATGTTGTCCTCCTGTCAGCACATGCGTCTTTGCTAGGTCAATGGGAGACTAGTAAGCTTGATTTTCTAGTGGAAAAGTCCTTCTGCACCATTGTTCTTAGTCCCAGCATTCTGTTAAACCCTATGTGACGTCAAGCATTCCCCTTGAATGAAAAGACTAGAAAATCTATGTTATTTTAATGTTCATGATAAATATATTATTGCTACAACACTGGTAAGCATTTGACTAAAACCACAGCCTTCTTATATTTCCTTAAGCACATCTTCTAGTGTTTTCCAACTAATATGCATTGACTCTGAAATAAAATCACATTTAAAAAAAAGTGTTTTCAGTTAAATATTTTGAAAATATAAGGCTCATTGGCTTTAAAATAGTTATACATATATCTCATTAGAGTAAATAGTCTTGTTGCCCAAGCATAAGGGACAAAATAATGAAAAAAAAAGGTCATTTTGACAGATTTTAAATTCTCAAGGTTAGTGACTCATTGTTGTATATATATAAAAAAAAAGTCATAGATGAATGACATTGATTTTTTTTGTACTCCAAAAACAGACATTTAATAAACATTCTGTCTTACTGTACAGCATCATATGTGGTTTAGCCCCAATATAGCTATCTTTCAGTTTTCATATCACCATTCAATTTGACGCGTATCAGTTCTTGAAAATGCTGTATCATGATTTAAGTATCTACCCAAGCTTTTATTTCCTTTCCTACATAGACCATATTCGTAGTTAGAATACAGAATTTCATGTCTACAGGCCAGAAATATTATCTGGTGCAAATCAACAAGTGTGTAGCATTGCAGTTCAGAACTCACCATAGGCATGGTCCTCGCAGAAGACATGGTAACTTCTCCTGATCCACTGAGGATGGATGAGCTTGTGGCTGCTGCAGGTCTACAAAGTGTGGTGCTGCCTCCTCTCTTTTTATAGGGCTCTGCTGCTTTTGTGGTAATTTACGTTTATGCATGAGAGTGGGTGACACCATTTTGGTTAAAAGTTCCATCTCCAAATGAGATCAAAGAAGAACATCCGCTTCTTGACGAAAAGAAAATAGAAATTCATTTTTTCATATACTTTTTTTTTTTTTTTGTCTTCTCTTAATTTTTCAGGGAACTATGACTTGTTGGAAGCCAAGTTAAGATGTTTGCTATGGGCTGATATAATTTATTTATGGATATATATGAAGGGACCATAAGAGGCATGCTCTATTTTAAGTGTTCATTGGGAAATAAAATTTGACATAGCATCCAAGTCTTCTGGTATCCAATATCTTGACTTCTCATTTGATCTTTCCTTTCCTCGCTAGATTCCCTGAGGACAATTCCATAAACTACTCAAGGTCCTTTCATATAAACAAACAGAATGAAAAAATAAATAATGATGAAAAGCTATGTTACATGTAATTGAATTTAACAGCTGTTTTGTTGAGTAAACCTTGTAGTATTTGAGTTAGTCTCAAGGAACTAATAGCTAGATTCTAAAGATGTGATATTTATTATACATTTAGCACAGAATGTTAACAAACAAGTTGTTAATATTTGGTGTTTTGAGATGCAATTTCATGCAATTATTCAGGAATGGATTAGAGATGGAAGAGAGAAGAGATACAGGTATACAAAAGAAGGAAGGGATTAAAAATGGAGATGGGGTCATGAAGAAAGACAACAGATGTGGAGAAAAAGGAGGGCAAAAGAGAACAGAGTGTGATAAGGACAAGAAAGGAGGAGAGGATACAGTCCCCAAAACACTCTCTAAGTGAGAGGAACTTCAATTTTGGGTTCTTGGAAATATAGAATAAAGTTCCTCCTCAGGAATATAGAACTCTAGCACAAGAATGATACAGATGAGAGGTCAGTGGATACAGATATGGTTGGTTACATGTCACCCCACTCTTGGTCCCCCCTCCCCAGCAAGGTGAACCATGTCTCCCAGGACCTCGTAGCTGATATCTTATATTCTACATGATGCGTAGGAAGGCTGACCAGCATTATCAATAATTAATATTAACTAATCAATACATCTGCCTTCTTGTCCTCAGGTCCAGTACTTTTTGTTCTGCTCTACTGCACTGCAGGATAATGTGCTGGACTGCAAGATCAGTGGTTCAAACTCACCAGCTGCTTCTCAGAAACTCTATGCAAGGCCACTATGAGTCAGAACTGACTCAACAGCACTTAACAATAACTCTGTACATCAGAGAACTAACCCTGGTAGGCTACTTTCTCAGACTTTTGTTAGCTGACTTTCTGCCGGGTTCAACCAAAGGGAAACTGAGGACAGAAGAGTGAGAGTGAGAAGAAGGGAAAGGGAGGACAAAGCCAGGACATTTCACCCCCTCAGATTCCCAGGGCACTTTCTCTTCCCTTTATCCCTCCATCCTAGGGATGATCTTGTTGATGTGAATCTCCATTACCAGTATCATCAGATTCCCTGCATTTGATTCTCTCTGTTACAAGTACCTGTCCTCCTAGTTACATAGGCCCTGACTAATCTGAGGGAGGCCATGAACAGCTGAATCTCAGTAGTGATGGTACACAACTCTGACGGGCTAAGCAGACAGAAGAGCAACTTAAGATGAAGCTTCTCTTGATTTCTCTACTTCTTATGGTGGCCCCCATCTTATCTTGAAGACATGGAGTCATTGAGAACCCAACTGTTCCTCCTCTATGTGGGATCAGGCAGCAATCTCAGAAGTTGCAGTATCTCTCACATCTGTATCCCAGCCCCAGGCCCACTGTCATTCCTTTAACTCCGACTCTTACCCAGTTGTGCTATTTTAATAGCTACTTTTGTGCTTCCCAATTGCGGCCCTTCCAGAGTTCCAACATTTCTGCAACAATGGTTGCTAAAGAATGGCTCTGATTGTGCCTCTTCTTCTCCCTTTAGCTTGAATACAGAATGAAATGTAAACCCTGCAGTATTTGAGTTAGTCTAAGAGTTTTTCCGTGATTGTCTGCAACCTGCTGTTGTAGCTTCATCTCCTACCATGCTTCAGGACCTATTCAGGGGGGTCCTGATTTTCCTCCAGGCCTCCTTCTAATACCTACATGCCTTTTGTAAAGGTACTCACTCAGAAATGCTCTTTCCCTTGCTCAATTTAAAAAATAGTTATTCTTCCTTCAAGATCTTGTGTCCTCTAGGCCTGGAGCTTTCTCCTGATTTCCTCAGTTGAAATGAACAGTTCCCATCACACCAAATTCATACCTACCTCTCTATTAACTTGTGTGTCACATTATTTGGCTTTTAAAAATATTCTTAAGGTATATGTCTAACTCCTTTTTAAGATTTGTCTTGGAATCCTTTAAGGCCAGTGATTTACAGGTCTTTGATGTTGCTGTTGTTAAGTGCCATTGAGTCAGTTCTGATGCATAGCAACCCTATATAGGGTTTCTGAGGAAAGGTTGGTGAGTTTGAACCACCAACCTCATAGTTCAAACTGACCTTGTGCTTGAGAGATTATCCTACAGCGCCACACCAGGACTGCAGGCCTAGTGTTGCTGTTGTTGTTGTTATGTGCCGTGGAGTCAGTTCCGACTTATAGCAACCCGGTACAGGGTTTCTAAGGTTGTAAATCTTCATGGAAGCAGAACGCCTCATCCTTCTTCCAGCTAGTAGTTTAGAAATACTGACCATGAGGGTCGCAGCCCAATTTGTAACCACTATGCTACTAGAGCTCCTTGTAGGCCTAGTGTAATGTTAATATAATACGGGCCTTAACAGATTGCTTTTGTATGACATACTATAGTATGTCAGTGTGTTTTACAACAAATCATGGATGACTTTGAGAATAATGAAAACTCTAGAACACTGAACTGTGCTCGTGTGGACCAACCTGTACATGGACCAAGACACAGTCATTCTGACGGAACCAGAGGATACTGCATGGTTTAAAATCAGGAAAGGTATGTGTCAGGGTTGTATTTTATCATCACACTTATTTAATCTGTATGCTGATAATAATCTGACAAACTGTACTATATGAAGAAGAATTTGTATCAGGATAGGAGAAAAGCTCATTAACAACCTGTTTTAACAGGTTGATATGCAGATGACACAACCTTGCTTCCTGAAAATGAAGAGAACTTGAAACACTTATGATGGAGATCAAAGACTATAGCCTTTAGAACAGATTGCACTTCAATGTAAAAAGAAACAAAACAAAATTCTGCCGGGATCGAGCCCCAGCAAATTTACTCCAGGATTTCCGAAGGCAGGTGTGGGCGTCGGTGGAAAGAATTACAGAGCCGATGGGTCGTGATTCAAAATCATCTTCTTACATGCTTTATTATTCTTATTTCTATATCCCCTTTTCCTCTCTCACAACCCTCTTATATACCATTACCAAAAAAACCGTTGTTTTCATAGTAATCAATGTCTTCAAAATACAATCTATTCTGAGGCACATTCTTCATGATTTACGACCCTTAGATTTACAACAGAGATGAAAAATTGCAGCAAAGTAACATTATCTCAAGGCATATGAGACATTCTGGCGCCTTGAAACCTTTTAGTTAAACATTTGTTCCTACATAAAGCTATTCTTTTCTCTGAGAAGCCAGTTAACCTTTGCATATGTTTCTTGACCTTTGTTTGTTAAGTCTTAAGTCATCAATCCTAATTGTCGGGTGCAATTTACACTTCCTTAACTTCCTCCATACACTATCTGTTTATAGCCTACAAAAACATCACTTATCAGGGAAACTTAGGCTATGAAAACAATTCCCCTATTTTACTGATCAGACTTCTTATTTATGTAACTGTAGATTCTCATAGCCCTTATCTATAGTCTAATTGTTTTTAGGAATTCTTGTACCCATAGCCCTTATTTATGGCCTAGTTGCTTTTAGGGATTCTTTATTGTCTTAAACTAAGGTTACAAGGAAGAATGTTTATAATCACTAAGCCTAAACTGGTAGTAATTCAACTGACAAATCTTGTCTCCTAGCAGTCTTAAGAACATTGTTAATATAAGTATTGAAACTACCTAAGATTACAAGTAGAATAAAATGTAGCTAATATATGGCTTCTAACTTTTAGTAAAAAATATACTAAAGTGTGGGAGAGTCAAAATCTAAAGTAAAGGGATACTAATAAAATCATGACTAAATCAGAGAATGATTCAACAAGAGAAAAATTAACTAGGGGCCTGTGCATAGAATATTTCTTTGTGGCTCTGCCATCCAAAGGAAACACTTCATTGTTGCTCTGCTAAAACAATGAGCCTTTTTATGTGCAGGGTCCCTGTCATCTCATTTATTTCAATTCCTCGATTTAATATGTCATTCCTTCATTTTTATGGCCCCTGCAAAAATTCCTCATAATGGGACCAATAAACAACAGCAGAGAAAAGATTGAAGTTATTTCATTTTACTTGGATTCACAATCAATGTTCATGGAAGCAGCAGTCAAAAAATTAAATGATGCATTGCATTGGACAAAACTTTGCTCTTGAACTCAAAAGACCTCTTTAAAAGTTCAAGAGCAAAGACTCCACTTTGAGGACTAAGGTTCTCCTGACCTAAGCCATGGCATTTTTGATTGCCTAACATGCATGTGAAAATTGGACAATGAATAAGGAAAGCTGAAGAAGTATTGGTGTATCTGAATTATGATGCTGGTGTAGAATATTGAATATACCATGGGCTGCCAGAAGAATGACCAAATCTTAGGATGACAACACTTCATGTCCAGTGTACTTTGGGCATGTTATCAGGAGGGACAAGTCCCTGGAGAAGGTTGTTATGCTTGGTAAATAGAAAGTCATCAATCCTAATTGACACGATGGCTGCACCAGCAGGATCAAACACAGGAAAGGTTGTAAGGATGGCACAGGACTGGGTGG